CGAGAAGGTCCTCTTCTAAAGAGGCACAAAGTCCCGAGAACGTCCTCTTCTAAAGAGGCACAAAGTCCCGAGAAAGTCCTCTTCTAAAGAGGCACAAAGTCCCGAGAAAGTCCTCTTCTAAAGAGGCACAAAGTCCTGAGAAAGTCCTCTTCCAAAGAGGCACAAAGTCCCGAGAAGGTCCTCTTCTAAAGAGACACAGACCCGAGAAAGTCCTCTTCCAAAGAGGCACAAAGTCCCGAGAAGGCCCTCTTCTAAAGAGGCACAAATCCCTAAAAAAAGTCCTCTTCCAAGAGGCACCAAATCCCCGAGAAAAGTTTTCTTTCAAGAGACACTAAGTTAAATCCTTACCCACGAGGTAACGAGGCCCTCCAAAAAAAGAAAGTCCTCTTGTCGAGGTTCCAAGAAAAGTTTTATCCCATGAGGCAACCCACCGAGTCATATAATTTTGAATTTGTCTCGTTCCCCAAGACAGACTCAAAACTAGGGGGGCATGTGATGGATTAGGGATTTTTCCTAATCCAATATTATTTGAACAGTACAAGAAAGCCCAATTTTATCTGGCCCAAAATATAAATCAGATAAATAATTCAAGACAGAACCAGAAATATATGGACAGAAGAATATATATTTGAGGTGATATAAAAATATTCCGTGGAGCCCATTTACAAAACATGTGCACATGGAGGTGACATGGCCACCTCATGGCATTGTTGGGGATGCATGCATGTACTCCCCTTTAAATACAAGGCTACGCAGGACGGATGGTGGGAGGCCAAGGCTAGATTCATACAAGTTCCTACTACTATATTCTCCATTCTTCTTCTTCTTTTAGCTTGGAGCTCCATTAATGACTCCAAGTTCCTACAATGATGTATATGTAAACTCCCCCGAGATTAATAAAAGTTCCTCCCCCTTTCGCATGGCACCGCCTAAAAAGGCCCGTGGTTTTCTCCCGATTTGGGTTTCCACGTATAAATACTTTCTCTCCGCTTTATTTATTTACTTAATTTTCGGATTTTGCTATTCGGTGCGGTGCCGACCCGGTACTGATTTCATCGGGTCGACGCCCCGAAAAGGCGGTTTCCATCAATATTGATTTTAAAAATAAAATAAAGTAAAAATTAGTAGAATCACACAAATATGACTATGTACTCCACCTGTTCAAGTTTATTCATCAAATTTAATTTTTTATGGTTAACTTTTTTTAACTCTACCATACAAATATAATACGGAGTAAATTATAATGAATTTACTATCAGTAAGTTCATTTTGAAACATTAATTTGAAATATCAAATATTAATGATCAATATGTTAAGTCAAATGGAAAAGAGCAACTTAGAGAGAGGGAGTATTTCACATGAGAAAAAGGTTCATTATGCCATTACTTTTACTCTTTAGGTGGGATGAGGGTGGGGTCAAAGTAATAAGTGAGGCCAAATATGTCACTTGATTTATTTATTCTAAGTCTAATGTACTTAAGGTAACCTAAAAAGAGGAAGGTTGGAGAAAACCTTTGGTACAAAAGGACTGTCACCCGAGAAAGAAATGATTGGTTTTAAAGAGGAAAAACCCTAATGTATACCTGGTGTACACCCGCTGAGGCTCACCTAGCACATCTCTCTAAAGAGATTAACAATCTCAAAATCAAAGAACAATGGTTAGAAATCAAATAGGAAGAATGGATGATTAGGAAAAGAAAATATTTTCTCCTTTTCTTTGCCAAGATGGAAGAAATTCATTTTTCTTTCAGACTAATTTTTCTTATTTTCTTTTCCTTCCACTTCTCACTTCTTTTTCTTCTCTAACTAAACATGAAAAAATTGTTTTTCGTCTCATTTTATTATCTTTTTCCACTAAAATTATTAATTTGAACCAAATATAGTGTTAATGTTTACAAAGTGAAAAGGTTGAAGCCACTAACTAACAACTGTATTGCAGCACGAAGAATTATAGCTATCCATGGAGACAGATAGAAGTATTCATAGAATTGTCCTAAATTTGGTGCATTAACTTCCTACAGTAAATAGACACAAGTCCCCCAGTCCTATGAATCACTAATAATAATAAGATCCAAATTACAACATTCTTGCATAGAGTTGTGTGTAATTCTATGAATCCGACTGAAGTAGTTCAACAAATCATTTACCCAAAACTCGAGAGCAAATTTTAAAATGAGACCAATTCAGACAAGAAACTTTTAAAGGTATGGCTCATTGTAGCCTTGTTTGGTGAGAATGTCACACGAGAACTTACGAAATCACATCACTCAACTTTTGCCATTCCACCGCTGGACAAGCTGCTGTCAACAACAGTCTCTTTGACAAATCTGGAAAATAAAAAAAGGAAATAAATCAAACCAAGGATTAGCCTGCGATAATATGAGTGTTACAGATGTTTAACATGATATAAAATGAGCATGATTAATGTACCTTGCCAATTTATCTCGAGAAGATTGCAAAATGTAGATTGAGAGAATGAATGTCAGCATCAGCCCTGCTTGTTAGCAAAAACAGAAAGAAATTTGGAGAAGAACCATGAACAAACACCATTGCCAAACTTATACTAGTATTACTTATCCCTGTTTAATTACTTCCTGAATACCTATTATAGACTGTTAATCAGAAAACCCGTACCTGACCCAAAAAGAACATAAAATCCAGAAGCAACATCTATCTCTGACTGTTCTTCCCTATTACAAATTCAAATAATAGGTTAAAAGATCAACTTTAGAGGTTAAAAATTAGCTCATCAAATATCATCGTAATCCAGCACACCAGTGCAACAGAGATCGATGGTCGCATAAGTGTAGCCAAACCCAAAATAGTAAAGTTATCTAGTTGCATGGTGTTATGATATTGTGAAGATTTTCTTGCGCACAAGCCCAACATTTGTGGCTACCACTGCTGTTTCTTTCTTGGTATTGTTTAAAAAATAACCTTAACTTATCTATTTGCTCAAAACTGTTAATCCTTCCACCTATTGCTTCAAAAATGCCAGACATTATCTGTGTCCTTGTTTTAACAAAGCACTGGATGAGGTTCTCTTTTGACAGCATCTTTATATTAGTCCACAAGGATTGCTAACCCAAACTTGCA